AAGGGCAGTGCCTGTGGCTCAGCGGGTAGGGTGCCGGCCCCATATACCAAGGGTGGCCGGGTTTGAACCCAGCCCCAGCAAAACTGCAACAAAAAAATAGCCAGGTGTTGTGGCAGGCACTTGTAGTCCCAGCTACTCAGGAGGCTGAAGCAAGAGAATCACTTAAGCCCAAGAGCTGGAGGTTGCTGTGAGCTGTGATGCCACAGCACTCTAATTGAGGGCAACAAAGTAAAGCTCTGTCTCTTAAAAAAAGAAAAAAAAAAAAAAAGGAAGATAATAATAACTGCCTTACAGACTACTGTGAAGATAAAAGGAAAACACATATATGTGCAAGAAAGCACCCTAAAAACTGTAATGGGGATGTACACTGTAATATGGCAGTAGAAACAGAAACTTTAACTAAATAACCTGCTGAATTTTTTTTTTTTTGAGCCAGAGTCTCACTTTGTCACCCCTGGTAGAGTGCCGTGGTATCATAGCTCACAGCAACCTCAAACTCTTGGGCACAAGCAATTCTCTTGCTTAGCCTCCCAAGTAGGTTGGACCACAGGTGCCCACCACAATGCCCGATTATTTTTAGAGACAAGGTCTCACTCTGGCTCAGGCTGGTCTCAAACGTGTAAGCTCAGGCAATCCACCCACCTCGGCCTCCCAGAGTGCTAGTATTACAGGTGTGAGCTACCACACCCAGGCTGACTGCTTGAATATTTTTACTGACTATTGAACATATGGATACATACCGTCCATTTCACCTCTGGGCGAGCAAGTGGAATAAATCTTCCATCAAACATATGAGAAAATGGCCCATGACCTTAAAAACAAAAACAGCCTTAGAATGAGAAAAATGTTTGCAAACGGGCAAAAATTGAATACTTTAATCTTTTTAGTTTAACTTGAATATCAACAGAAATAAACTATAAATATATCACAAAAGGGGGCCAGACACAGTGGTTCATGCCTGTAATCCTAGAACTCTGGGAGGCTAAGGAAGGAGAATTGTTTGAGCTCAAGAATTCAAGACCAGCTTGAGCAAGACCAAGACCCCATCTCTACTAAAAAAA